CGTGATCGGGCTTTAACATAAATTTATCGTGAATCACGAAAATTTTAATTTTTTAAATTGGTTTTTTATAAATATAAATTTGCAATTTTATAATTATAATATATATTTTCTTATTTAACTTAGTTCTTTTGTTAAAAAAGAATAAAAACTAAAAATCTTCCGCATTTTATAAACAAAATCCAGTATCATTCCGTTAGTTCTATTTTCTTTTTATGTTTAGGTGTTTTATCACGAGACTTTTTGCTAAATTTTGCTTAAACTTTTTACAGAAAAGTAAATTATATTTTATTTGTAAAGATCTTCAATCTTTGAATGCAATAGAAGGTGAAGGATTTTACAAGTTAGCCCAAGGGATATAAATGTTGGTGTTACATATGGATAACAAAATATAAAAGTTATGAGCCAGAAAACTCTCATGAATACTATCGGTCCAAATAAATACCATGAAATAAAAATTAAGATTAAAAGCATGATCAATAATATTTACTTGTCCATAACCACTGATATTTTTACGGATGACTATAAAAATCGAAGTTTTTAACCATTACAGGACATATTTTCATTAAGGATTTTGAATTAAAAACATTTGTTTTGGCCACAAGGGAAATAAAAACAGGCGTCAAAATTAAAAGTGTAGTCAATATAATTTTAAAAGAATACACAGAAGTAGGAAATTATTTAAATAAATGTATAGTTGTGTGACAGATAACGGAACAAATCTTATAAGTGCATTCAAAGATGACGAAACGCTAGAATATATATGCCATATATATACTAAATAATATTATGCATTATATTTTTGTCAATTGTTTAACTGAAATGGCCTTAAATATAAATGGTGTAAAAAAAATAGTACAATATTTCAAACAATCTAAAGCTAATAGCAAACTAAGCCACACCCTTAAACAAGATATAATAAGGAGATGGAACTCAGTATATATCATGATACAGAGTGTCTTAAATTCATATTCTGATATGCGTAGCCAGGATTTTCCTAAGGGGGGTGGGAATTAAAAAATTTATGGGGGCTTCACCTCCAGGCCAAATTTTGGAGGGGCCTTCGGCCCGCTTTTGCCCGACCTTCGGCCGGGTTACCTTAGTCAATATATAGTCATAAAATATTTTTACAAGATAGAAGGTTATTTTTAATAAAAAAAATAAACCTGGAACAAATATGAAATATATTTTATTTGTTTATATATAATATAATAAATTATTTGTATATACATTAATATAAAAGCATGGTAATAATTTATTCCAAACAAGTATAAGAAATTTATATATAAAAAGTAAGTAGACATATAGTTGATATTCCTCTATTATATAGATACAAAATACTAGGTAAAATTCCTCTTTTACAGACATGTTTGACACTAGAGAATATATTACAGTTAATATATTAACAAATTTTACTAATCGATGCTCTTGATAATAAATATAGCAACAATTTGATTCAATTAATTAACGCCATCTATTTAAATTAAAAATTATATTAAAAATTAAAAATTATATTAAAAATTAATTTTCATATTATTCATCCCACAATGTCTTTAAAAGATATTTTCTGGTGTCCTTATCAATATTTTATAGTTTTTTGTAAAATATATAATTCTTATTGGTAAAAATTATTTGATTGACATATGATAATTGATAAAATTAGATATACTGTAAATCTACGACATATAATATTTCACTGTTTGTATTGATTGTGCATTAATTTATTTATTTAATTTATGATTTAATTTTATAATTATATTTTACTTTTATTAGGATGACTAATTACTCACTTTATAAAAAAATATATTTTATATATTATATTATTTAGTAATTTACGGATTTATTATTATAATTATAATACATTTCACTTTTGTCTTGAGACTTATCTTTGGCTTATATTACATTTCTTTAAAAAGATTTTTGGTTTTTTTAATATATAAATGCTTTTTTCCATGCATAAATTATGATGAATAGTTTTAGTTTAAAAAAATATCTACTTTTACATTTTCTTTCAAATTATTGTTTAAGATTATACATTTTTGGGGGTCAGGGAGTAGGAGGGGGGAATTTGGGGGATATTTTTTATTAGCTTAAAATATTCACAAAAAGTGATAATTTCTGAAGAGGGAGGAAATTTCCCCTTGCCCCCCCCCCCCGATTGGCTACGCTTATGCCCTACACTCATAAAAGACAGTATATTTTAAATAAAAAAATTAGAGAATTTTTAGAGGATTCTGTTGAAGCATCAACCTATACCGATGAAAGCTCTGAGGATGAACTTTAAAGATTCATATTAGATAAATAACAAGACAATATTTTGAAGTTTAGGAAGCAGGAATATAAATTTCTTTTTTTGAGAAAACTAACGAGTATAATTTTGTCAGCTCCTGCAAGTTCGGCTTCGAGTGAAAGGTTATTTTCTGATGCCAATCTATTATTAAAGGATAGGCGTACACAATTGAAATAAAAAAAGATGGACTTTCTTTTTTTTTCTAAATAAATTTCGATTTATAGATGTATTTATTTTTTGTTGTTAATATGGATATGAAATTAGAGAAATCAATAGTATAAATTCTAAAAATTGTAAAATTATAGCAATATTTCTGAAAAATTTAAAAACATCGTGAATTTTCGGGCGTGAATCAAAATATTGTCTTTTGTGAGGGGGCGAGTTAGGTCAAAATTTTTTTAGTGGTAAGCGTAAATGGGTGTAAATTTTTTTTTATTGCCACCGTGAGCAGAATAGCCGTGAATAAAAAATGAAGTCCACGACCACTTCTATCTTAATGTATAAAGAGTATATTACAATATATTTCTATCTCCCACCGGAGTAGCGTTATCGAAATAATTGTATGCTTGATCTTCCACTAGAATATCGTTTGAAACCATTGTATAAAAATTCTCCAAAAAGAGTATCATTATCCAGGTCATTATATGGTTGTCTTCCACCGGTCGCTATCGAGTCCATTATAGATTTGTAGTTATTGTGTTTAAACATCCACGGAGTCACTGTTATCTTAGAGCTGACCAAGAGATATACCCTGGCTAGATTACCTTTTACATAGGTACGTGATTTGCCCAATGTTCTACATTCTTCTTTAATACACCATCTCTTCTCCCCTTTTTTATAAGCGTCTACATGAGTGGTGAGGGTGAGGCTGGAAAAGTTTGCTTCCAATTTTTCCTAAGGGGGGTGAGTGGTAGGCTAGGACTATGATTTATAGGGGGGATGGGAAGGTTATCTATTAAAATTATTAATAAAATAACCAAACGTATTGCTGTATACATTAATACTTTTATTATAGACGTATTATACAATAATATTCCTAAACATCTACCTAATCTTTATATTACACACACATAATCATAGACATTATTTTCCAAATGAAACTATTTCTGAATAATTTTCTGCATTTAAAAGGATGTAGGCATTCTATCAGCAAACTCCTATTCATGTCAAACAATATACTATAATAATATATACATTGATAATGAGGTTTTTTTAAAACTGTATTCATGTTCTAAACAATAAATCTTTTACAATCACAATATTTAAGTAGTTGGTAGTAAAGCTTTAATCATACAAAATCTATGAAGGGAGTACAATTTTAAGTAAAAAGGTGAATATAGTGAGAATATCGCCGCCGAATATGGCAACATTTTTAAGGGATAAGCATAGATTTATGAGGGTTTTACATCCAGTGAAAATCCTGCGATAATGACGCAGTTTTTAGGATATATAATTTATATTGTTATACAATTTTTATGTCAAATCTTATTAACATTCACCCAAATAAAAATAATCGAATTTAGCTCGATTTTATTTTCAAATAATTAACTTTTTGATAACTTTGGTTATTAATAACCCAATATAATTTACGTCATCAATCCCAATTCTAATTTTATTCAAAATAAAATACCAATTATTACAAACTGGGCATACAAGTGAGGCTATGTTTAATAAAAAATATTTTATAACTTATCTCAGCTGCTTACGAATAAAACAATTTAATCACAAAACAAGGAAAAATAATAATTATCGATCATCTTCATATCATTTAAATTATCACATATATTGACTTATTATTGATATCACATCAAAATGTATTGAAATAAAATTGTTTTATCTTATTTTGTTTAGGCATTTCTTTTGTTATTTAAAACGATAAAATCTTTTTTTTATATTCATATAAATATATATTAACTTAAACGATTTATTTTCCTTTATTTATTTGAACATTTTATTTTTAGAGAATAATCTATTAACTTAAAAATAACTTATTTTTTTTGTTAAATGTACTTTTATCGATTAACTTAAATGAAATTTTATATGATAAAAATAAAGAAACGAGATTACTTAATCATCAAAAATGTATTAATATTTTAAAGTAGAAAATGTTATTTATCATTAAATTATCCGCAATAGCTAGATATATTTTGTCTCCATGATTCTTTTAGCTTGTGACTTTTTAATTCTTTTATCTTTTTCACCTTTGCATATTGTTGTTATGCTGTCGTTTTGACTTAATTTTGTTATTGAAGATATTTATTATATCAATTACATTCCATATTTTTATTTTAGTTATTTTATAAAAAATACCCTATAATTTTTTGTTAAATACAAGTAACAATGTTTATTAATAGATTTTGAATTGTAGAAGACTTAAGGCTTAAAACGATATATTATATTATATTTAATAATTAATTGATGTTTTGAAAAGTTTACAATAATTTTTTAATATTAAATTGATGTTAATTTTGTATATATACTTAAATGATCATGATTACTTTTACCTTTTGTTTTTTTGATCATAGTTGAAAAAAAAATCATCATTCTTCCTTAATTATTCAATATAATCGCTCACAATTTATTCTATTCTATTATTACAATTTCTCTTTCATTATTTTTTAAATAATAAAACAATTTTTCGTAAAATTGTTAAAGAAAACATATGAGTTTACAATGACATACGCCATTTTATCTGGCGCTTAAATATATTCGATATATCGCCGATTTAATTTTTAAGTTGGAGATTTTTTAAAAAAAACATTACAATAATAAATGGGCATTTCTCGCCCTTTGCCAGTCACATGTGGGGGGCATACGAGGCCCGTTGTTAAAATAAATTTTAGCCAAATTACACCTGATGGTTATTTTATAATTTCAGCTTCTAAAGGTTCAATATCATATATAAATTGATGTTTTTAATAATTTATATTAAAGTTAATCAAACTATTGTATTTAATTTATGCAGATAAAAAGCCCATGCTTAGACAAGGAAATACTGGAGATTGGATTGGTACATTTATGGGCCATAAAGGTGCTATTTGGGATGCTGCATTAGATGATCAAGCAATTAGAGCTGCTACAGCTTCTGCTGATTTTACAGCGTAATAATTTCTGGTCTATTTTTTATAATAAGCTATAATATTTTTGAGACAATATTATTTAAGATAAGCATAATTAAGTTATAATGACTAAATGGATTCTCAATAATTACTTAAATCGGCACAGGTGCATAACCAGCAGGGTTGGGAGACCTCCTCACCCCACCTCCCATTCCCTGTAGCAATTATAAATTTCTAAGTATTCTATTTCAAATAAGTTATAATCTATTTTATATTTTAGCAAAAAGTTAAAATTAATTTAAATATTTTTCCTGGTATATTAATATTTTATACCAATGATTAAAGTATATTTTCTTATATTGGGTATGAGAAAATTTTATCAACCAAATATTTTCAGTTAATATATTTAATAATAATTATGATTAGTCAAAATTTCAAAAGTATAAAATATTCAGATCCAATGAGACAAAATTTGCTGAATAGAATTATTTCTGAGAAGAAAAAGACTTTAAAATTGTGCCCAATAATATGGAGTCAACATCAAGCTGTTATAGCATTTTAGGATCTAGAAGGGCCTATTTTGAGTGCCCTTGGAAAAATGTTGATATGCCTAAACCAGATATTTCATCTGAAAATTATACTATGAGATTCAATATGACAGCCAATTTTATTTCATTGGAATGTATTAATAAATTATTTAATTATACAAAAATTATGTGCAACATTAAAAAAAATGATATGGATTTTGAGGTTATGGGAATCATGAATATTATTATTTACAACATATAAAACTAAAAGATAATATTGACTAAAAATTTTACAAGATTTATATGATTGTTGAGGCAATTGTGAAATTATATTTTTGAGATCTGTTAGCCTCAACTTGTACCTAGATAAACAAATCATATTAACATGGACTCAATTAAGGATTACTATAAAACAACCATTTTTATTCCTTTTTTGAATATATTTTTAATTCAAATCAATGAATAATTTATCATTCATCATATGGCTCTATCCAATTTAAAAAATATTATTATCAATAAATCAGTCTGAGGATATATTAAACCTCGACATTGAAAAATTAAATATTTGGTTAAATTTTCTTAGAGTATATATTATATTGAAAGGCCAATTAATTTCTGAATTTAAATATTTGTTTAATATTAATTTTAATAGATAATCCTCCAAAAAACAGAATGGAACAAATGTATACTTTTAAATAGATTTTTGAGTTTTTCCAAGCGTATTAAGATTACTATATATTTTGGCAACAATATCAATTAATACAAGCACAAATGGAAAAACCTTTTCTTCATGTTGCAATAGCCTTATTGATTTATTTAACATCAATATAACACTTTCTTAAATTTAGTAAACATTTTGATATATTTTATCTTTTACTACAAGTTTATATTTTTCAAATTTGTTTATCAATTAACTTATATATGTGGATATTAGAATTTAATTTAACTTTATATTAACTAATTTAATTTCAATAGATTTAAGTTAAACTCATTTATATATTGTTATACATTATTTGAGATGGATCGGGCAGTATATTAATTTTTTTAAATTGTCCCGAGGCCTAATTTTTTTTAGATATCTAGGCCACCTAAAAGAATGTCCATATTTATTGTGTGCAACTTTTCTCTAATAAGCAATAGGCTATAGAAAAAATAATTCATTGGAAGCCAAACTTGTTGGAGCTAATAAAATTTTACTAGCAAATTTTCTCAAAAATGGAAATGAATTTCCTGCTTCCTAAACTTCAAAATATTTTCATTGTTATTTGTTTTATGAATGATAAATCTTTCAAGTTCATTCTCATAACTTTCATCGGTAGATGTTATGCCTCATCAGAATCAGAATAATCTTGAAATTATCCAAATGTTTCATTTAGAATATGCTGCCTTTTATGTTTGCAGGATGAATTAGAAAAGTTAAAAATGATAGTTGGCATTGTCATCGCCAGATTTTAAATCTTTTATATATCTGCCTTTTCATTGTCTGTTGAAATCTTAAGACTTTTGAAATTTGGATTTAGAATTAAGCATACCTTATGTAGTGTCTGCACAATAAATCTTTCCTTTAAAAGAGATATTGTCCTCTTTTTTATTGTTTTGATTATTACTATATCACCTTTTGAAGATGACAAAATTTCATTAATTTTTATTTCTATAAATGAACATTATTTATAGTGAATATAATTTTAAGAAACTTTATATGATGATATATACAGAGTTTCATTTATATCTTCCTTAATGGAATAGCTCAATTTGCTATTTGCGTAGATTGGTTAAAATTTTTTACATCATATATATTTAAAGCTATCACAGGTAAGCAATTATCAAAACTATTATGCATTATGTTATTTAATATATGGCTTGAACAATGGTATCCTTTCATCATCTTTAAATGCACTTATATTTTAAATAGCATGTATAAGACAATTGCACAATTATATTTTAGATTTGTAGGTTAATATGAGAATATAAAATGAGTAATTAGATATTTAATTTCCTTTTAATTTTGACTGATTATAATTTGATTGAAAATGATTGGTATATATTAAAGATAAATGAAAATAAGACATATTTTAATTAAATATTTTACCAAATTTTCATTGCTGAACTAGAATTGAAAGAATTTAAAAAAATTATTAGAAAATATATATTATAATTACAAAATTGCAAATTTATATTCATAAAAAGGTATTTAATAAATTAAAATTTCCGTGATTCACGAGAAATTTATGTCCACGCTTAATCATGCTCGGAACGATTTTTGGGAAGGCCCATCACGTCTAATAATTTAAATTTTATTCACACTCACGCAGTGACCCATCTTGTCACACATAATTTCACAGCCCGCTCCCACCTCTATGAGAATTACAATTAATCTCCAATACGGAACAAATTATTGAAAAATTGGTACAATCGAAAAGAAAATTAAATTTTCACTTATGAATGATATTTTGATTAACTTCTTAAAACATTATATAATGTTTGATTCTTTATTTTACCCAGACGGGCTGGGCCGAATTTTAATATTTTCCTAATTTTTTTAAAAAATATCAGGATCGGGCCAGACCTAAAATTTTTTATAAAAAAAAAATACCCGCGCAGGGTTGTATATATTAAAATCGAATATTTTAAATCGTCACTATTAGCTATAAAATTTTTAAAAAATGTAATATATTGTAAAAAATCCGGGCCTAGCCATGCAAATTGTACCTCTGCAGATATCTGATTTACCGTGATTTACATAACAGTTTATATGGCTATAATATTTTTTAACATTATATTCCATCTTAAATATTTTATATTTTCCAATATTTTATTCATGTTCGAAGTTGTCATTTTTTTAAATATGATTGGATATAATAAATTTCATATTATGATCAGGCTTTGTAATGTTGCAAAAAAAATACCCCCCCCTCCCTCCCCCCCCCCCCGTAAATAATTCTTGGTTATGCGCCTGAACCAGCTGCTTATTTTTTTAATATATTTTGTTTCCTCAATCCCCCTTCCCCTCCTTCAGTAGAGTAGATATAATGGTTGTTTACTATTGAAATTTTATCTAAAAAAGACTGATAGAAAAATTGAAAACTTATTTTAATTATAATATAGGAAACTTTTCAGTGCAATAAATGGCAATGAATTATATTCTTTTACTCATGGCCATGTGGTGAAATGTGTTGATTTCTCTAAAAGTTCAAAAACCAAAGCTAATATGCCTTCCAAACTAATGACAGGATCTAATGAAAAAATAGTCAGAGTATACGATCTAGAAAATTATGATAAAGGTTGAATTATTAAACGGTTGAAAAAATAAAATATACTTCTCCTTTTTCTTATATATTTTTTTAAATAAAATTTTGAATATAATTTATTATTTTTTAGAGTATAATTTTAGAAATTAAATATTTGCAGATTTGAATATTATTTTAATTATAATATCCATTTATTGCATTCAAAATATTAAAAACTAGCATTTGTTTGGATAATTAATATGCAAAATTCTTTTCACATAATTCTATTTTATATATAATTTATAATACATGTAATATATTTAAATTTATAAATTTACTCCCAATTAGAGCCAGTTATTTACAAAACGAATTCCAATTTGAAAGACTTAACATTCTTGCAAAATGATAATAACATTTTAACTCTTTCAGAAGATAACATATTAAGGTATTCTACTATATAATATATTATTGATCACGAATATAATAATTGCATGAGACTGTTGAGCCCACTCATGAACTTGACTTGGAACATTTTTAAAAATTTCCTTTCTCTAAAACCCTAAGCATCTCATTTTTCTCTATAGCAAATCTTAACTTTTTTAATATATGATTCATTATTTATTTAAAAAAAAATAAATTAACAAAGACTATTTGCGACCAACACATCAAATGACAAAGAGATTAAGACTTTTGATCTAAAGGAAGATGCGAATGGGATGGAATTATCTCATGATCAAACCATATTAACCATTTCCCATAAACATACTATCACTTTTTTTGATATAATCAAGTAAAAAAATACAATGACTGTTACAAATAGGCTTATTTAAAAACGAATCGAATATTTGATTCATTCGAAATAATCAAATCAAACAGAAAAACAAATAGTAAACAATTTGTTTTGTTTGAATAAAAATAAACATTTATTCAATTTTAATAAATCTAATTATTAGAAAATTTGTTTTTAAATATCAATAAAATTGAATAACCTAAAAAAATTTAAAGTGAAATATTAGAATATTAGCTTATATTTTTATAATTTTCTTACATTATTTATAATCTTATCACAAATTTACGTGATGTGATTTAAGCATTAAGTCCTCTAGTGTTGTTGAATAACACAGCTAGGCTATAAGCAGAATGGTATCTTAGACAGACGACATAATTATAATCACAAGCAACTTGATGGATTAACATTTCAAACGCTAACAAGGGATAAATTGATAAATAAAAATATAATTATGTTTTGTGATAAATTATTATCAAAAAAATCTAACATAATTATGACTGAATAAGAGGAGCCATTTGAGAACGATGTGTTGAATATAGTAAAAATAGTGAAACTACTTGAAATCATTGCGAGAGAACATTATAAAATGTAAAGGAAGAAACGTCTCTTAATAGGCTCTATTTACACCCGCAGTAAAATTGATTTTTTAAAAAATAATAACATATCTTTTAAAACGGTAAATGTCAAGGATTTTAAAGATCTTTATTTATTAATAAAATTAATATACTCCATACATAAAAAAATTATTGAAAAAAATAGGTTATTAAGTAAATAATATCCAAAAATATATTCAGGTAAATTTTTCATCTGATATTTACGTCCTCTCAACTCAGATTCTTTTTTTTAGGACTAACATCCTATTTTATTATTTAAAATTTCAAGCTAAATGACATAATAGTAAAACAAAAAACGGTCAATTTTGTATGAATTATTTTATAAAATGTAGCAAGATGAATTATTAAAATTAAATACGAATAATGCACTATTTGATTCGTATTCCTTTTTTGAATAGGCCTAGTTACAAGCAGATATAGATATAAAAAATATCTCTAAATTAAAATGGTTTGAATCGATTTTGAAAAGGGGTAAGTTAAACACATTATCATGAATGTCAAGCAATGAACATATTTTAAATCATGCGAAAAAAATAAATTGAAAGTTTTCAAGTCATCAAAAAATTCGTATCTCAGATCCTTATATCTTCCGCCTCCCTAAAACCCGACAAAAGTTGTTGCGTCTATGCTGGCCGGGACGATTATAAAATTTACAAAATCAATTACAAAACATTGGAACAAATCGGTTAATTTTAAAGCAATATACATATTGGGATATGGAATTTATTGTAATTCGGAATCACTCAATTTTATTATTTACTGAAGAACATTTTTTTTTGAAAATCTGGACCGGAAATGTATTCCAGCATGTTTAGGATACCCACCTTATAAATTTCAGACAATTTTCGCCTTAAACCTTTGTGCAAATTGATGTAGATTAAGAATACAATATTCTGCAAATTTGTCTGAATTTCACAATGTGAATGATTGCTATATACATGTTACATTTCCGGTCAAATCCGATTTTTCAATGATAAAAATCATACTGAATATATCAAATGAATTCCATACCCCAATACGATATATATTTATGTAATATAAACTGACGGGCATTTACAAATTACGATATAAAAAGAGAAAGTAATGTAAATGCTTTACTTTAGAAATTGGATAGATGATCCATGATTGAATTTCTGCGGAAATCGTTTTTTTTAATTAAAAAAATAATACAAATCCATGAATTTGGGTAAAAATAAATTTTAATGAAGAATGAGAAAGAATAAAAAAAATGAGATTTAAAAACTGACGATTTATTACTAAACAGCCAGCAGCTTAGCCAGCTATTTCGCTTCGACTAAACAGCCATAAAAAAAACAAAATCAAAAATACGAAAAATAGCAATGCCATTAAATACTTAAAGCAAACCAAAATAGGGAGTTCTAATTTAAAAGCTGTATAGTTTTAAGCCAAACAACAGTTAAATATCAAAATTAAGTCGAATTATTACAAAGTCTGAAAGCTTAAAAAGTGAATACTTTTAAAAATGGAATAAAATTAATTTGGTAAGGGTGGAAACGAAAATTAACTAAGTAAATACTTCAGTAAGCGAAAATAAATTCAACTGATCAAGTGTATTTTTGTCATAATAATTTTAAAAAAATCGTTCGAATATATTTAAGAAGTTTTCTGGAGATTTTTCTTCCACTTAAAAATGGCGGCAAGGTCTTGCTCGAGAATATTTATATACTACCAAACTTTATATAACATTCCATACATTCGCAATTTTTATGCATTTTAAAATTTCGATAAAAATAGTTATTTTAATAATAAAAAAATAAGAGTACTTCATAAATTACGTTGCTTCCATTTTCATTTTATCGTTCATAATTAATAGTCCATCATATTAAAATTCAGGGTCGTATATTTGACAGGTTAAATACGATTCAAATATGGTTAAATTCAAATAAATGCTTTCATAAGACAATATTAACTAGTAATCCGCATCGGGCCTAATTTTTAAAGCCCGGCCCGGCCCAAAATTTTTTTAAAAACGTTTAGCCGGCCCGATTTTATTTAAATGTAAAAATTAATATAATTACTCAAAATAAAAGACCAATTATATGGCGTCTAGTTTTATATAAAATCAAAATTTTAATTTACATGAAAAATTCAATATAAAATTGATAAATCTAAATATATTTTAAAAAATTTCCAAGACAAGACCTGACCCGGCCCGATTTTTAAAAAAAATATTAGACCCTGCCCGAACCCGATTTGTTTTAAAAAAGGGCCCGGCCTACTTTTGTAGATCTTTAATATTTAATTTATTTTGTATATAATAATAAAATGAATCTATATTATTAATTTTATATATTTTTTTCATTAAACTATAATTTCGCTCTCCTTGGCAGGGTCTTATTCTGATTCATATTCAATATTATCATTTTCTTTAATATTTTTTAAATTTTCTTCTTGTTGAGATCTTCAATCGATTTTTGTTTTAGTAAGAATATTGACCCAGACCAATATCTTTCTGAAGAAGAAATGTTAGTAAAATGCCATTTCCATTAATGGCCATGGCGAGCAAAGCCCATTCCACTAATTTGAGGCCGGGAACTGATTGTTTCCTATCGAAGTTATTGCTTTCCACATATTTTGATATTAAACACAACTTTTACTTCTGAAATTTATGCTATTACTTGAAATATTTTGATCATCACCCCTTGTAAAATGCCTGAATTTTGTATTATATCACATAATTCATTAAATTTACTACCAGTAAAATGCTCTCCTAAATATTGGGGACACAATAAATAAGCAGCATTGTTTTCACATCATGTATTTATGTTTTTTAAATATATTTTTAATTTTCTTTTGTTGAATTTTTTTATATTTGACCCCTCCAGTCAATTGACTGATTTGGCCTATCAATTGACCGTTAGCCACTTTGTTAAAATCTTTATCTTATTTCACTATATTTTAGATCATTTTTTTTTATAATTATCCTCTCCCTATAATATTTTTAAAAGACGCGTGGAAAATTAGATAAAAAGATATGCGATTATGATAAATCAAATCGTTTATTGAAAGGAAATTCTCAATAAAATATTTTCCCACGAGCTTAAATTCAGGTCATATTTATTATTCAGAAAATGATAGATCAGCTGGATCACAATACTTGTTAACCGATTCTAAAGGAAGACCTCATAAGACATATTCTAGGGGAGATCATGTTTTAAAAAGAATTACTGGGGAAAAAAGTTATGCAAGCAACCAGGATTTGATTTATAAATCGTAAATCTAATATAGGAAAAGGGATTTCATTCTCATCGTGCCAAATGAGAATTCATAAACTAGGATATTTCGTTTTATTAATATTTATTTATTTGTCAATTCTTTGATATAGTCTCTATAAAAAGAACACTATCAAAGAGGATTTATAAGAAAATAAAAGATTCAATAGGCTTTTAAAATCTTGATCCTTCTGCAAGATAACCTTTTTTTGTGAATTTTACAGTATGACATATTGTCCCATTTTTGAAATACACTAGCGTTATCAGGAAATAAGGTATAAATGATTGTACGCAGATGTTGATCAGCGTGTATCGTTTACAAAGGTCAGACTTACAAAACCTTTTGAACTTATAAGTTCCGATATAATTACTCTCTGGATATTTAAGAGTTCGTTTAAACAATCAGTATGATAGGCTTTATTCTTAGTTCTGATTACAAGTTCCCTAACTGTCGTATTTTTATATACGTACTAATATTATGTAATGCCAATCAACCAAAATAAGTAAGGTTGTTGGATTATAAAATTAACGTTGAGTAACACGTGATGAATAGATATATTTTTTTACCAATATTATTGTAATAAAAGATCATTATAAAATTATCGTATTTTTCTTGATATTTATTTTGTAATTGTTGAAAAAATTATTGTTTTTGTTATTCGTAAAGCTATCAATCAAGATATTTTCAATTATCGTAAATTCTAATTCCGAAGAGAATAGTTTTGAATAGTGTAAATTAAGTATTTGAAGGGTTTAAAGGAAGGGATTTGTTTTAGTTAGTTTTGTAAATTGCAGATTAAGCAAAACAATAATCTTGGAAAATTAGTAGTCAAATCATTGATTCATGAATTGGTGAGGAACACCATAAGCTTTATTTTGAATTATTTTTTAAGTATAGACTTGATGGTGGATCTAAAAATGCGTATCCCTCTTTTATTGTAAATCAATCCAAGATATACAAATATGTAAACAATTATAAATGCCGAAACGTTTATTGTAAGCTAACACTATTTGATTAGATAATATTTTGTACACAACCCCCTTTTTTTTAAAAAAACATAATTTTATTTACAGACTCGGCCAAGTGATTTGTGACCTGGGGCATATTTTTAATTTTGATCATTTTATTGGCATGGAATTTTAATTTCGTATTTTTTTTGAATTATTTGTAAATCTTTCAAAGAGAAATTGAAAATATGAGCAATATTAAAATCTCCATTATATGATTTATAATTTTTTTAAACCCGGTCCTTAATGTTGGGCCTACATGTTTCTGATAAATATAATATATAAAGGTATTTATTTCGTTCATATTCAGACACGGAATTTAAGGCTCACTTTGGCGCGATTAACTCTATCAAATGTGGTCCCGATAATGAGCTATTCGGTACCGGCAGTGAAGATGGCTACGTCAAGCTATGGCAATTCCAGCCTGGCAAAAACTATGGATTATGGTTATTGATTAAAAAAATTTTTTTTTGAAAAACTTTATTTTGGCGCTCTCTCTTATCTGTAAGAAACGATAAGAAAAAGTGAAATAAATATATTTTTATTTATAGTTTTAGGGGGTTTTTTTTAAAAAAAAAGAAGTAGCTTATTAACCTACAATAGGCTAAAAAATATGCACTTGTTCATATTTTTTTGTAAAGTTGTAGTTGTAGAACCCAATTATAATTAGCTTATAAATTTTAGATAACAAGTTTTTTTGCAAAATTTGTGAGGTTTTTACACTTAAAATTTTTTATAAGTTGAACCAGGACACATCCTTAATCATTTTAAAATACAGTTTTTTTAGTCATATAGTTTCCCTTTTCAAACAAGCAGTAATTTAAGTTTTTTGAATTTCAATTATTCATGTCTAAAATTTGACATGGGCTTGGGATTAGTTATTAAAATAAGGAATCTAATCAATCAAAATTAGAAAATCATATGCCGTCTTATATTAACTTTGAAGAAAAATATTCACGTGTACATAATCTCATTTATTTAATATAAAATTAGGACTGCCAGGATCAAAGATGATGATAAAGTTGACGATGTCTCAAATTCAGTTGAATAGGATGATTGTGCTCAAATTACTTAAAAATTAATTATTTTTTTTTATTGTTCCAATTTTTCTTATTAAAACTATTATACTACTTATAAACTTTTATTTATATGCCAAAAATCAAAATAGTATACTAGCAATAAAACGTCGTGATATTCCTATTTTCTATGTATATATATAATTATCAGGAGCACGGGACAGTCATTTTTGCGCTCCTGTTTCGTTCCGGCTACTTTTCGGAATGCGTCCCTTAAAAATAAATTATCTATTATGTCTATAATCACGAGAGTATCTAGAATCCCCGGGTCACCGAAAGATCTAAATAGGTGTTAGTTTTGAAATATCGGATAAAACTAACAACTCTTATTTTCAAAAACGTTCTTTTCTCATTTTGCGCCATATTAATTAATTTATTAATAGGCCTTATATTTTCCTATAAAAGGGGCACAATTTTATGTTTATGATGTATATAAATTTTTTTAGACATGATTAAAAATGACTTAAAGAGATTGAAAAGGTTAGAAATGTATGTAAAAGATTACAATGAAAAAATCAATGAAAAAACGTAAAGAATTGTTAAAAAAATGGACCTAAATTTATAAATTATTTTTAAAAATACAAAAGAATTATCAAAAATGAGAAGAAAAATAAATTGAGAGAAGATATAGTAAGAAAAATAAAAGTAAAGAAAATCGCAAAAAGTTAGAAATAAATTGAGAAAAACGTAAAGAAATCTCAAAAATTTAGAAATAAATTAAGAAGGAATAACAAAAATAAATAAAAATTTTAAAAAATTACTATTTTCCTTTCTTGAATTGGAATTTTCCTTTTTTGATTGACACTTTTCCTTTTTTGATTAGACTTTTTCCTTTTTTGTTTAACACTTTTCCTTTTTTGATTGAACCTTTTCCTTTCTTGATTGAACTTTTTCCTTCTTTGATCAGACTTCCTTTCTTTTTGAGAATTTTCCTTTTTTTGATTGACACTTTTACTTTTTTGATTGAACCTTTTCCTTTTATGATTGACCCTTTTCATTTTTATGAGAAACCCTGTATAAACTATTTTTAAAATACAAAAGAATTATCAAAAATATGAGACGAGAAAAAATTGAGAAAAGATATAGTAAGAAAAATAAATTGAGATACAAATAAAGTAAAGAAATCGCAAAAAGTTAGAAATAAAATAAGGAATGACAAAAATAAATAAAAATTTATAATTTTAAAAATATTACTTCCTTCTTTGAATGGGAATTTTCCTCTTTTGATTGACACTTTTCCTTTCCTTTTGTGAATATTCCTTTTTCGATAGACACTTTTTTTTGATTGAACCTTTTCCTATTTTGTTTGACACTTTTCCTTTTTTGATCGGACTTTTTCCTTTCTTTTTGGGAATTTTCCTTTTTTGATTGACACTTTTCCTTTTTTGTTTGGGCCTTTTCCTTTTTTGATTGGACCTTTTCCTTCTATGATTGAAACTTTTCCTTTTGTGATTGGGACTTTTCCTTTTTTGGATAGGAAACCCTGTAAATTTTTATTTTTAAAATTATAAAAATGAGAAAAATAAAATTTAGAAAAGGTCATAAAATAAAGATTAAAAATGACTTAAAGAGATTGAAAAGGTTAGAAATGTATGTAAAAGATTACAATGAAAAAAAATCATAAAAAAAATATTGTATGTATGATGAAAAAAAAGGTAAAGAATTATTAAAAAAATGGACCTAAATTTATAAATTATTTTTAAAAATACAAAAGAATTATCAAAAATGAGATGAAAAAAAATTGAGAAAAGATATAGTAAGCAAAATAAATTGAGAAAAGATACAAATAGTAAATAAATAGCAAAAAGTTAGAAATAAAATAAGAAGGAATGACAAAAATAAATAAAAATTTAAGAAAAATTGAAAAATTTATAATATTTTTTAAAAAATTACGATTTTCTATTTTTGAATGGGAATTGTCCTTTTTTTGATTGACACTTTATCTTTCCTTTTGGGAATTTTCCTTCTTCGATTGACACTTTTCTTTTTTTGATTGGACCTTTTACTTTTTTGTTTGACACTTTTCCTTTTTTGATTTAACCTTTTCTTTTTTTGATTGACACTTTTCCTTTTTTTGTTTGGGCCTTTTCTTTTTTTGATTGAATCTTTTCCTTTTATGATTGACCCTTTCCTTTTATGATTGAAACTTTTCCTTTTTTGAATGGGAAACCCGAAACCCTGTATCTCAAAGATGGATTGGCAAATACTATGATGTTATATTATCTGCAAATGAAAAGTACTTAAAAACATCTATCGTCACATATGTGTTATGCGACCGGATTTAGCCAATTTTTAAAAACGACTAACTAAAGGTTTAGAAATTTTATCCATAGATGATAGAAAGGTTCGGACATGAATTTCAAGGGATATATAATAATATTTTTGCTAAAGTTTTGATTTAGCCCTTAATCGTCGAATCAAGGCGCATTGTATTCAGCAAAAAAATAGACCTTATCATTTATGAAAGTTAGTTGAAGATTTTTTAATAGAAAATATTTTATTATAGTATTAGTTCAGATAGATGATAAATAAAAATAATGAATCTAGAAAAATTATTCCCCATAAAAAAATTTCCCGGAAAATAATTCCCCATTTTTTTAGATCCTAAAAAAATATTAACTTAAGTAGAAAATTAACAAAATAGGAAACAGAAAATATTTCCCCGAAAATATTTAAAAATTTTGAGGAAATAACAAAATAAAAAAATTTACCAAATAAAATTGTTAAACAAAATTATAAATAACAAATGGTTAATGTTAAACAAACCCAATTTTAAAAATATTATTCGTTAACCCTAAATATAATGTTATGGAAGATTATTTTTGGTTTAGGTCTTCAACTATTACCAAATTTTTAAAGTGAGCATTGACAGCAGGCGCTTAACCTGGAATTTTCTGCGGGGAGGGTGATTTTTTAGCAACATTTTATACAAAATATTTAATGAAAATTTAATCTTTGCGATTGTGCTAATTTTTTGATAATTTGTTTTGTAATTGAGGATTAAATATAAAAATAAAGTTGACCCATTCAATCGATTTTCTGATGTACTTCTGAGATAGGTTTATATTCTCCGTAATTAATGCATGGTCCTCTAATTTATACTTGTACTAGTCGGTTTCAAAATATACAGTAATTTTAAAAGATTTGGAAAAAATATATGGAGTATACAAAACTACTAAGGTGTTTTCTTGGAGGATTATTTAAAAATTAATTTTTCATACTAAGATTTAAATTTTGAAATTATGGGCATTGGATACATTCATAATTGATATGAGTAAGAAATTCACAAAAAATTGGAATAAAATCGGTTATTCTATATTAATGCTCAATTGAGTTCATGTTAATATTGGAACGATTGTTTGCCTAGAAAGTCGAGGCTTGTGTATCATATAATCTTGCTTTAGCTAGGTATTCACATAAATCCAATGAAATTATTAGTCGATATTATATCGTAGTTTCTAAGTATCGTTTTTTTGAAAAATATTACATAAAATTGTTTAATGAAATAATTTTATACATTACAATGAGAAAAAAAAAATCGACAGTCCTATTGAATCTATTGTTTTAGCGGAAATATCTGATCCAGGCTATACTAATATTTATTTAAGATCGAAAAATGCTTTAACAGCTTAATGTCAAGGACTTCATTGTGTTGGGCATGCTTTTTCTTCTTGTAGCCCAAGAAGTCTTAAAAATATTTCTATTCAGAAAATTCTCTCTAATAATTACTAACCTCCTGAAGAACTTATTACTTTATTATATATTTTTTTATTTCTGGGAAATATTTTACTGCAGGGTTTTTTTCCATATTTTTTCTTCCTAGGGAATTATTTTTTGCTTACTGTAAAGAATAATCAATGTAAATATCGGTCAGTTTTGCACAGGGGCGGACTGGCCATAAGACCCAGTGGGCATTTTGCCCACGAGGCCGCGAGAAAATGTCGATTTTGAGGCCGATGAGAGGAAAATACCAAAAAAGAGGCCGGTAGGAAAAAAAAATATTATGTTGTTCACATTATTTTCTCTTATCATTTATTTATTATTAATGATATCTATTATTTGAATATAAACATTCCCTGAGAAGAATTATCATGTCGTTTACTATATTTGAATGCATAAAATATCAATTACGTCGCTTGACGCTATATATCATTTACCACGTGCTTTTCGTTTTTTTTCTTCAAAGGAAGTGAAAACGCTTATGTTTTGAATAGAGTGAAAGCTAAGTTTTCATTAATTTATATTATTATATACATTAATTTATTGTATATAGGAAACTATCTTCTTCTTAATTTATTGATCCTTTCCTTTTGAGTTGGGCTTGAGTAGAGTGAAAGCTAAGTTTTCATTAATTTATTATATTATATTTTTATACATTAATTTATTGTAGAAGAAACTTTTGTGCGCCTAATAGTTGACAATTTACTGATCATTAACAAACAAACATAATATAAGAAAAGAAACACATAAATTGAGATGGAAAGCTAAGTTTTCATTAATTTATATTATTATATACATTAATTTATTGTATATAGGAAACTATCTTCTTCTTAATTTATTGATCCTTTCCTTTTGAGTTGGGCTTGAGTAGAGTGAAAGCTAAGTTTTCATTAATTTATTATATTATATTTTTATACATTAATTTATTGTAGAGGAAACTTTTGTGCGCCTAATATTTGTATTACAACAATTTACTGATCATTAGCAAACAAACATAATATAAGAAAAGAAACACATAAATTGAGATGTATGTAAATAGTCAAAAGTAAAAAACTTATTTATATTTCATAAAGATAGTAATGTTTTTTTATTATTATTACTGGCTGGTAACATAACAGATTACTTTATGCTTTATATTAAAATACAATTCTTTAAAAAAATTATAATAAATTTTATTTTAGTTGAATTGATATATTTTCATATATGCATAGAAATGCCAAAAGGAAATTTAAAGGTGGAGCTGAAAAATTAAGAAAAAAAAATGCTGCTGGTCTCAAAGCAGCTGGTGCTGATCCAAAACAACTTAAATTATCTTTTTTTGATAAATCAATTCCAAGTATTTCAAATACTATTACTTCATGTAAATAAACTATTTTTTTAGAGATATCAACAACTGCCTCCCATTCACCACTACCTGAAACAACTACCTTATCTGCAACATCTTCATGTATTATGGCATCAGTTCAATCATTGCCACTATCCTCACACTTGTCAGAAGCAACTACATCAATAATACCTTCAGATATTTTTCAAAGTGTATTATCAGAATTGGATATGCATACACATGAAAATTTTAAGTTGCAATTAACAGCCACTATACCTCAAAAACTTAGATTTTTAATGCAACATCCTATACAACCAATAAACATTAAATATGATAAATTATATTATCGAATGGTAATGAGTGAAAAAATACCTAGAAAATGGATTACCATAAAAATTATATGCAATAAAGCCCAAGCTGTGTACTGCTCAATCTGCCTGGCATTTGCAGTATGTGAAAACACTTTCACAACAGGCTCTACAAATTTTCGTCACATGCACTCAGTTATTAAAATACATGAAAATTCAAAAGTGCATATTAGTGCTGTCGAGGCCTACCTCAGAGCTTCAAAAAACCAGTCGTTTAATAATTCAATTAGCGTTAAAATATTAAATGGAAAAAATCGACAAATTCATAACAATATCCACATAATAAAACAAATATTAGAGATAATAAAGTTTTTAGGTAAACAAAACTTACCATACAGAGGATCAAAGATGACCGAAACACTTAGCCTCTTTGATAATGAAAATTTAAATCATGGCAATTTTCTGGAAATGATCCGAATTATATCAAAGAATGATCAAATACTTAGAGATCATTTAGAGAAGGCTATTTTAAAAAGCAAACGTAGAAAAGATACGCTTAAACTATCTAACAAATCAAAATCGAAGGGAAGAGGTTCTCTCATAACCTTGTTGTCAAAAACAACTGTCAACAAAGTTATTGATGCTGTTCTTGATCAAATCAGGAATTTAATAAAAAAGGAGATTGGTAACAAACGGTTTAGTTTGCAAATGGATAGTACTCAAGACATTTGCATTTATGATCAAGCAACCATTTGCCTACGATACATATATAATGGTAAAATAACAGAAAGGCTTTTTGCACTTACAAAAGTTACGAACTCTTCTGGAAAAGGATTTTTTGATATCTTGAGTGAATGCTTTTTAAAACATGGAATTCAAATGAGAAATATAATTGGAGAATCATTTGATGGTGCTGCAAATATGCGGGGGGAATTTGTTGGGTTGCAAGCTCTTATTAGACAAGAGGCTCCAGGTAGCTTGTATATTTGGTGTTATAATCACATATTAAATCTCTGTATATGTGATTCATGCGATAATATTGAAGGCAAAATTTTATTTGGATTATTGAACAGACTAGCAACCTTCTTTGGTGAATCATATAAAAGGATGGACGCTTGGGTGAAACAGAATAACTCAACTGGCCAAAATAAACTGAGAAGGCTGCAAAAAATAGGTGAGACAAGGTGGTGGGCACGTGAAAAAGCCCTTAAATGGATATATGGCAAAGAGAGCCTACTTCCAATAACGATAAGTGCACTTCGATTTATAATAGATAATAAATCATTTGAGGCAAAAACCTCATCAGAAGCGCAGTCGTTGATAGATAATTTATGTAAATTTAAGACTCTTAGTACAGCTGTAATATATTTAGAAATTTTTGAAATAATGGGGCCATTGTCATTGTATCTTCAAACCAAAAATTTAGATATTTTGTCGGCATGGAAGATGATAGAAGATGCTAAGTCTTCTGTGTCATCGATTACTATTACATCAATTCAAAATAAAGCAATAAAAATGGCTTCTGATTTAAATGAAACACTTTCATATTTAAAGCTTCCGGAGAGTATCTGTGTACAGACTGCTCTGCCAAAAATTCGAATAGGATGAGCAAAGAGAATATATAGTGATGAAGGCCAGGATGAACGTCCTCAAGAATCGATTGACGTTTATAGGGTTGAAGTATTTCGTCCTATAATTGATCAAATTATAAACAGTTTGTCGGAACGCTTTTCTGCGAATAGAGAGCTTATTTTGAATGTGCGATATTTGCATCCAAGGTATTTTGATGACATAAATAGTAAAGGTATTTCTGAAATGGCCTTGGAAAAACTGGCGCAATTGGCAAATATATCGAGTGAAAAATTACATAACGAATTGTGTTCATTTTCTAGTGTATTCAAAGATTTAATAGCAGAATTAAATGAAACGGGCGATGATATCTTATGTACAAGTGAGGAGTCGAATGAAGAAGATGGAATACTACAATATGATAATAACTCGAAGTGTGATAAATGTAACAATTGTTTAATATGCGTGTATAAAATTCTTAAGAGGTACAATATGCATACAAGTGCATACACTAATTTATTTCTGGCGTATGAATACATTTTAACTTTATCATTTACGCAGGTTAATTGCGAGAGAACATTTAGCAAATTGAAAATTATAAAAAATAGGCTGAGAGCTAATATAGGCCAAGAAAAATTAGAAGCGTTTTTAATGATGTCAGTTGAACGAGAACTATTATCGCAGATTGAAATAGAAGATATTCTTGTTTATTTACGCAAAGGTTCAAAGTTAATGAGAGATTTATTAACATAAAAATTATATATTATTAATTCATTTATTTAAATCTTATTTATATCTATTACAATATGATCTCTAATTTTATAAGTGCAACAATATTATTCTCTGTGCAATATTGTATAATTGTTATAATTTTATATGTGTAATTAATTGATTTTATATATTGAGTATGATGTATTATATTATATTTAACATGTGATGTATGATTTGATTTTATAGTGCAATATCCTTGTAAATTTAATATAAAATATATATGTGCAATGAATATTTTTTTATATGTGCAATGAATATTTTTTAATATGTGCAATGAATATTTTTTAATATGTGCAATGAATATTTTTTTATATGTGCAACGAATATTTTTTTATATGTGCAATGAATATTTTTTTATGTGTTCACAATGAATATGATTTTGGATGTGCAATTTTTAAAATAAAATATATGATTATCGTGTCATTATTCTTTTCTTTTTTTAAAATGTAAATTGTTTGAACCTATAAAAAATAACAAGTAATAAAAATTTATAATTTAAAGAATTTAAGGGAACACGGCCGAAGGCCAAGCAAAAGCGGGCCGAAGGCCTGCAAAATAGGAGGTATGGGGGCGAAGCCCCCATAAAAACGAGGCCGCTATAAAAAAAATGCCCAAGAGGTCGTAACGTCGCCAGTCCGCCCCTGGTTTTGCAGTCATATCAGAATGAAAAAAAAATTGTGGATCACCAACAGTCCTACAAAAACAAAAAGTATTTAATTATACCAACGCTATTGTGATACTAATTACACGTTTTTACTTCTATAAAATAGCAACCCCCCCCCTTCTCTAAATTCTTATTCAGTACTCAATTACCACAAACTCAAAGAAATTATTTTTTACCTTAACAAGTTTTAATTATATCTAAACTTATATGGTTATAGATGACAATTATGATGGTGCACCCTTACATTTTATTGACAATGCGTGCATATCAAAAGTTCCTTAAAATTTAAAGAAACAATCTTTCATGAAAAAAGTGATAAGTTGGCATGAATTTTTAGGAGCAAAATAGAAATGAATAGTAAATTTTAGAATATTATGTTAAGATTATTAGAATTTTCGAGAATAATATAAAATTAGCAAATATAAGAGCCCTACATTATTTATTTTTGAAACTAGTCTACATAATAAAAGAGTTATACCTCACTAGATTGATTTAGGACCAGCATTCATCAAATTTGATATTATTTTTAATAGTTTTATTAAAGAATTTAAATTTAATAATGCCCATCTTGGTAGTGGCTAAAAGTGGGCCTGGTCATTGATTAGATCTATGTGCTAACCATGCCATATTTATATAAATGCACATGTTTAATTATATTGTACAAAATAATATTTTGCTAGCTTATGCAATAGATTCATTGTGGGAATGTAAATTAGAAAAAATTATTAAAAGTTTACAATAAAATGGTAGGGTATCTCTCATTATATAGAAAATTTCAATAAATTTTAGAAGGGCTATTTTGTGCAATTGCTACAAGATAAATAATATTAAAAAATTTATTTTCCTTTTATAATTAGTGGTATATCTAAAATTTTGTTTGTGGAAAGCAAGAATTTCTAAGAAATTCAGTGAGATTACAATTTTTTATATTTCAGAAATTTGTAGTAACCAATAATATAAATTTAAAACTTCATAAAGAGCTTTAAAATTAATATCTAAAACACGATTTCATTTTATTTGAGTAATTAAATGAAGGATGTATAAATTTAAAACAAAATTTTCTTATTCCTTGTACATTTTTTTAGATTGTGTTTAAATTTTTTTATAGACCTTTGATTCATCCATTTTGGATACTGACCATGTTCATCTTTATGAGTCTTTGTATTATATTGTTTTATTACTTCCATTTTTTGGCTATCTTTTATGGAGAGAATATCTATAAATATTATTATACAATGTAAGGATCATGTTTATTACCAGGTTTTGATATAACCACATCTTCTAAGGATTTTAAATTGATAACAACTTTTTTTAATTTTTCTAACTCTTTTACGCCGTTTTTAACACGTTTGATTGCTCTGAATTTTCTTTTACGCTTACTTCTTAAACTTTTGGCCATGATTTAAAAATGAATGCAAATTTGTTGCGATTGATACTAAACATTATCTAGTCAATGAATAGCAGTGTAATGTTTTAAATTATGAAAGATTTTTTTAAATATTAAACACAAAATTACCTTCAAAAATTATTTTACAAAAAAAATTAGAATCGGACAGAATTTGATTAAATCTTGTTTAAGCATTAACTTCAGCATTGGTGTATAGCGTAAAATTTGGCGGGGGAGGGGGTGACTACGATTATTTAAAATATGTTATCAAAAAATATGATATTCATAATATTGGATTTTTTTTATTAAGAATATGAATATATTCTTTATTTATATTATAATTTAAAAATAATATAATAAATTTAACCGATATCTATACAAGTTTAAATATGTAAAAATATGAATTTAAGAATTGCCATTAATCCTTCATTTATTCATTTTCTTTGAACTGTATGTTTTCAAAAAAATTTTATTCGTTCCGCGATGATTTTCATTCTATATTTTGGTACATGGTTCTAAAATCTATTCCGATATCGAAGGTCCATTAATACTTATGAACATTAATTTTGAAAAATTATTCACTCTTAAACTTGCTCGATTATCTACTATAATTATAATCATGAGTTGAAGGCTCCTTTTATATTCGGCAGTACTGCAGGATAAAGTCTATATTAAGGTTTTTTTAAAATTTTTATTCGGAATAATTTCATCGATATAAGCCCAGCAATCGTTTCATATTTATTAAATTTGAATCTTTGTGAGAATATTTTCATTTGCTTCACGCTAAATGCATCTAAGTTCTTAGCTAGATTATCTTTTTGAATAAATAATGTATTGAGAAGATTTCTAAAATAAAAAAATAATTTTATTATTCCAGTAATTTTATCCTCGTTTTCAAAGCTATTTTTTAAACAGAACTGAATGATGCTTCTTAGAGAAATTTTGAATTGTTATTTTTAATATACTCCTCTAGGATTTTTCTATGGTATATTTTCAAATAAAAGTTTAATTTTGGAATCGAGTGGCATCACTAAATATTTAACTACATATAGCGTTTACAGGACAGAGGGTAGGGGCTATTTGTCTTCATTTTTTTGAAAGGGGTAGGCACCCAAAGGAGGGTAAGATAAAATTAAAATAAACATTATTTGTAGATTAAAGATATAAATGATAAAAAAAATTAAATTTATTATTAAGTACTTATTTCTCATTCATTCGCTGATAAGATTTTAACAGTTTGAAGTTAGTCACGCTGGTAGCTTATGTTTAGAAAACGGTTAATATAAACATGTTGATTATCACCTATTATTTATTAGTTATTTCTGGCCAAAATAATCACGAGGCTTGAAAGAGTTTAATTAGAATTGAAGATATAAAAGGTGTTTCATTAGAATATTTTTAAAAATAATATGATAGATTGTTTTAGTATAATGTGTCACAACGACATGGTTGTCATTGTGCATCAAAACCTAAATATAAAAATAGAAAACAAATATATATATATAAAAGGAAATTAATAATAATTAGGAATTACGAAATCATAAAATCAACTTTAATTCTTTATTCAAAATTATAATAGTAAACATCATAAAAAAATAAAATAAAATAAAATTAAAAAATTAAAAGTAAATTTTAGTTAAAATAATCATCCTTTTTCGCATCATAATTTCTCCATTATATATCCTTTTTCTTTAATCAACATTTACATAGTCTCACTAGCGAAGAATAAAAAGTTCTACATCCCACTTGTTAAAACTGTTAAAGTATGAAAAAATCTACAAATCTCACGCGTTTTTTTCTCATTTACATAGACGGGGATATTTTAATAAAACATTATTTTTGTTTACGATTTGCATAATGCATTTTTTTGTAAAGTAAAACTGCAACATAATGGATAAGCAAATATAGCGGCCGAAGGAAGCGGATTTTTTTTTATGAGCAGTGGTATATTTGGAGTTCGCCTCTATTGAATTTTCTGCCATGAAGATGTTGCCAATTTTACTATTGTAGAAGTAGAACTGATAAAATATTACAATTTATTTAAACATTTAAAGGATTTTGTTAAAATTGGACTATTGCCTATAGTGTTGTTAATTCGGCTCAATCAGTCAAAAAAATTTGCTAGACCTTGGGGCAACAATACATATTTTTTTGTAAATTGGGATATACTTTAAGTTTAAACATGATCGATGCGAAGATGATATTTTCGTCTAAAAATTTGATTTAGTTGCTTCAAACGCTGCTGAAAATATCATCACTACTTGCTAATGGTGAATCTCAATTTATATTTTAATAAGGTAGAAGCGGCGACAACTTTAAGGATTTCTATAAAAATTGTTGTGATATTCAAATTAATATTTTTATACAAAAAATGTCTTATGCAAATTAGAAGAATTATTACGATATTATAAGCGATGTTGGTTAATTTCATATTACAGACTATATAATTTAAAATATTTATAAAAAAATTATTAAGCTTTAAAAATCTTAATAAATAGATTTTAAGAAAGCTTATTTTTTAAGATAACAATTTTTAATAAATATATTTTAAAAGCAAAATTTTTATGAACCTCGTCATGAAATATTTTTCTTGTACATTTTTTTAAACAATTTTTATTAACTTTTAATTTTTGACTCTCTAATATTGGATGAATAAAGATTAGTAAAGAGATTATATTATTACTTTAAAGAGATTATTATTAATTAAAGCCTTTATTATTTATTTATACATTTTTCTTCTTTACAGGGGCAGAGTTGTTAAAGTAGCGCGCTATCTTTTTTGGTAGCTATAGCTAATAGCGGCTACTTTTTTAAAAATTATTTAATTTTTTTAGCGCGCTACTTTAAAAAAATATAATGAATGTAAGTATAAGCACGAAAATTTAATTTTTAAATTGAAATATATTTTCAATTTGTAATTAATATTTTCAATTTGTATTATAAACCTAAATCACCTGTTAATAATTTAAAATGGCATCGCATATGGATATCCAAATCGTTGAAAGTGATTCAGAGTCAGACAATGATATTAATGAAATGGAATATACAAGGGAAGAAAATAATATTCATAGCAATACTTTCCCATTCCCTAGATTTCAAAAATTTTTCAAGATTAATATTAAAACAAAAACTGGCTTCAAATTTATATGTTTAAAATGTAAAAAAAATATTTCCTCAAATCAATCCAGTCTATAACCTCAAGAAACACCTAAAGGTAAATTATCATTTTTACATAAAATAATAATATTTATTTTATAAGACTCTTCATGCTAATAGTTTTAAGAAAATTGAACAACATTTAAATAAATTTGACCTAGGTGAATCTACATCCAAAAAGACTAATTCCATTCAGACAAAATTAATTAATAATACAAATGCTAATATTTCTCAGAAATTAACTGATAAAGTTATTGTGGATTTTATAATTGATACAGTTCAGCCAATGTCCTGGGTTGATAATCCATCATTTACTATGATGATTAAAACTTTATCACCTGGTACAACTATTTTATGTGGCCAGACACTTGTGAATAAAATAGCAGATAAGTTTAAAGTGATGAAAGATGCTTTAATAGTAGAATTATCAGAGATATCTCATATATGTACCACGGCAGATAGTTGGACACATAACAGAAGGTAAACACTTATTTATATTTATAAATTGATCTGATTAAATATTTTTAGAGCTTATTTGGGAATCACAGGTCATTGGCTAGACCCTAATACTTTAAAAAGAAGATCAGTAGCATTAGCCCTCAAAAGGATAATAGGATGCCAGATACGATGTACTTGCAAATAAAATTATTGACGTTTACAAGTCTTTTAGCATCATAAAGTTTGCAAGATGGTGACCGATAATGGGTCCAATTAGCTCAAGGCCTTCAGTATTATAAATTAATTTTTAAAATATTTAGAGTAATAAAATTAAATCAAGTAATAGTAAGTTATTAATTAAATTTTTCAGTATTTATTTAAAAGTTATTTAATATTTCACATTATATATAGAATTTTTATTAACTAAATACATACATATTTTAGTAATATTATATCATAATTTATATCAAATTATAAAAAAATTAGTGAATTTAACTAATAAAATTTACAACAGAGATGGATTATTTCATTAGTTTTTATTGCACAATGTCATTGAGCTTAACATTTAATATGATATGGTTATTGAATATTTCATAGATGATTAGATTTTTACTATATTTATTTCTTATTGATTAATATCCATCAATTTATATACAGTACAGGGAATTCAATGTATTCATTTGATAAAATATTTTTACTTAGTTACATCATAATTCCTGAGGTTTAAAATTTAGAATAGCAACCTAATGATTTTACCACTCCATTTTTGATAAATATCACTACACATTTCTATTAAAAACGGGATGAATAATTTATTCTATTTAATATGAATATAGAATATTTGGTGAGGATAATGCTGAAGGTGAGACACAGAGAGATTATTTAGTAAGGCAAATACTTTCTGATCGTCGCTCTAGACTTGGGGATGATAATATTGAAATGATTTTATTATTAATATTCAACAAATTACCATAAATATTTAAAATTTATTACATTTTATGATCAATATTAACTATATTTTAATATTTATAAATGGATTTTATATATTATTTACTATACAATTACATTATATGCAAAATAAAAAAAAAATTGTTTTTAAATTTTTTTTATAAAAATTAGCCTAAAAGTAGCTAAAGCTACTTTTTTAAAATAGTAGCTAATAGCGAGCTACTTTTTTTTAACAATTAGTGTAGCGGTAGCGCGCTACTTTTAAAAGTAGCGATTAACAACTCTGTACAGGGGTTGCTTCTATCTTGTTTTTACATAGCCAGAATAGCGAAAACAAAGTTGAACCAGATTCTCTTAATTATTCAGTCTAATGCAAATCAATGGTTACAGGGGACAGGGAGTAACGTCAAACTGCAGTCTAATGCAAAAATTCTAAAATTAAATGGTGAGAAAAATATTTAGAGAAATATAATTAAAATTTAAAAGATATA